TCCATCAAAAATAAAACTCGGACCCTAGCTGACGTCCAGCAGCTGTGTGGTTCTTTGAACTGGGTGAGGCCATGGTTAGGTATTACAAACAAAGACCTAGCCCCTCTTTTCGATTTATTGAAAGGGGGGAAGAGCCGAGTTCTCCCAGGGAACTCACCCCAGAGGCCCAGGCTGCTTTGAATAAGGTCCAGGAAACAATGTCTGCCAGGCAGGCCCACCGGTACGATCCAGACCTGCCCTTTAAATTCATCATATTGGGCAGACTGACACACCTCCAGGTGTTATATGTCAATGGACGAACACCCTAGGGAAGGGCAAGGGCCAGGACCGAAGGGATCCACTCTCCATCATAGAATGGGTCTTCCTAAGTCACCATCGGTCCAATAGAATGACAAGGCCACAAGAGTTGGTGGCAGAACTGATCTGTAAAGCAAGAGCGCGGATCCGGGAGTTGGCTGGATGTGACTTCGAATGCATTCACATTCCCATCAAATTGGAATCGGGTCAATTAACCAAGGCCATGCTAGAACGCCTTTTACAGAAAAATGAATCTCTTCAGTTCTCTCTAGACAGTTACACGGGCAAAATTTCAGTTTTGAGACCGGCACACAAAATTTTCTAATCAGAAATTCAATTTGCATTATCCATCAAACAAATTCAGAGCAAGAAGCCACTCAAGGCCTTAACAGTTTTTACAGATGCGTCCGGAAGTTTCCACAAGTCCGTAGTGACTTGGAAAGATCCTCAGACTCGGATCTTTCGCGGGCCCTCTTCACATTAAATTTCTTGAATTGTTCTTTTGAAATCCTCAACCCACCAATCTCTAGGCACTTTGGCAACCACGAGCAGAGCAAGGTCAGGGAGAAACCGCCAGTGCTCATTAAAGATTCTGAGACCTGGCGGCTGGAAGGACCCAATGAGTTTGTCACCTGGGGACGGGGATACGCTTGCGTGTCCACGCCCTCAGGCCTGAGATGGGTCCCATCCAAATTTGCCCGGCCATATGTCCCTAAACACCAGACCGACAAGAAAGACGGTCCTCAGGTGAGGCATACAGCCCTCCGCAGATGGAGAAAGTCTCCCCCTTTCCTCTCCAGTTCAACGCTTTCCCTCTCAGAGCCTTCCCTTTCCCCATCCAGTTCCCTAGACTCGCTCTTCCCTTTTGATTTAGATCTCCCCTCCCTAGAGTGCTAATTTACGTTTCAGTTCTTTTTCAGACATTCACCTTGCCCAGGGTACAACCCACAATGTCAGCGTCAATGAGCTTCATCCTTCTCGCAAGTGACTGGCTGGAGTTGCTTTTGAAGGATGGGGTCTCACGGGTGTGATCCAATCCATTTTGGAGACTGGGCTTGTGTTGCTGTTATCACTTATTGTTTTTATTACAAGTTTAGTGTTGTTAAAAATCCAAATTTAAAACCCATCAACTCCACCATTCATATCAACCACGCCGTCCTCGCCTCCCCATCAGAGCTGACACCGCTCAACGCCGAACATCCAGGAAAGAACCAAGAACACCCAGAGGACATCTAGTTCGACGATGGGGAGCAGGACTGTGAAACCCCCGTTTAAATTATTTTCCGTTCTTTTCTTTTTAAACAAAAAAGAGGGAGATGTGGAGTTGTATTTTTTATGTTGTATTAAATTTGTATTACGTATAGGTTTGTTCCATGTACCCCCGGTTCTGTAACAGTTCTTCCCGGGTTTTCCTGTCTTTCCCTACATGTCTGTTATCCCCAAAAATGCCAAGTCACCACCCCTATTTACCCCAGATGCCTGTCTGTCACTCTGTGTCCCTTCCCCTCCACCTAGAATCTTCCACCTGGGACGCCAGGTGGTTGGTATAGGACCTGGGACCCTTCCCCTGTCTGTCCTTCATTGGATGTACTCTCGTATCCCACCACCCTCGAACCCCCCACAGTTTTACCCCATTGGCTGCCCTGTTTTCCCCCGTTCCGTATTTAGTTAATTCGCGCGGCTCGCCCCATGCTTTCTCTGGCTCTTTCCAGCGCGCGCCGCTCGCCTGCTTTGCTCTGGCAAACACAGGCGTGGCCCGCCTGGTCCCCTTTGAATTATTGTATTCCCCCTTGGATTACAATAAACGGAATTGGCCCCCCAGAAAAAGACTCTCTTCATAATTCGCCGTGGGGTCGCCGACTGCTCTCTGAACTCCGATAGCGCGTCCTAAAGCCCTGTGAGGGTCCAGCGGGAAGCGCTAGAAACCTGCCCGCCCCTTTTTCCCAGAGCTAGCTGGGGCAGGGGAAAGGCATCAGGGAGAAGAGTGCATCGGTACAATTTCTGTGGGACAATAGTCCCTGCAGAAATTTCCAGGCCCAGGTATCTCCAAGGTGGCATTCTTTGAAATTTGTTTTCCTGCAATTGAAATCCAACAGAGGTTAAAACTTCAATGACTAGGTCAAGCGTGTATTGGAGTATAGAGTCATTGGGAGCACACACAAGCACATCATCCATGTAGTGAAGGATGATGGTATCCTTTCTCTCTGCACATACTGGAGACAGTAGTGCTGCTACATACTGTTGGCATATGAAAGGACTGGATTTTAAACCTTGGGGCAAAACTTTCAAGTGGTAACGTTTCATTGCGGCTTCCCGATTGATGGTAGGAACTGAGAATGCAAATCTCAGGGCATCTTCAGGGTGCAATGGAATCTGGAAGAAACAGTCCTTTATATCTAACAGAGCCAATTTCCAGTCCTGGGGAAGCATAGCTGGACTAGGCATTCCCAGTTGGAGAGGTCCCATGTCCTCCACAATTTTGTTTATCTCTCTGAGATCGTGGAGCAATCTCCACTTGTCCTTCCAAAGCTTCTTTATTACAAAGACTGGGAAATTCCAAGGGCTGTCTGTTTCTTGCAGGTGTCCTTGAGCTACCTGCTCCTCTACAAGTTTTTCAAGCGCCTCAAGTTTTTCTCTACTCAAAGGCCACTGTGCTACCCACTTTAGGGTGTTATCCAACCACTTTAACTTGTGGGCGGGGCGCTCCACAGCGGCTACTTCTAGAAATCCTGGGGGGTGTCTTAGGAATGATTACCTGGACTCCCCACTGGGACATGGTATCTCTTCCCACAGAGGAGCCTTATAGTCTGCCACAAATGGGCGAACACTTGCCGATTTCCCGTCAGGTCCCTCAATTTGCACTACATTTGTTGAAATTTTTGCCAATGTAGTTCCTCCTATACCCTGAAGTTTGCCTGCCACAAGTTGCAATTCCCAGTGTGATGGCCACATAGTTTTGGGTATCACCGTGATGTCTGCACCTGTGTCCAGAACATCTTCCACCTGAAGGTGCTCTGACCCATGTGCTAGGTTGCATGCCATCGAGGGTCTATCCTCTCCTACTACTTCTGCCCAGTAGATTTCTGGAGATTTTCCTTCTACTGTGATTTCTACTTGGATGGGAATGGCTTGTGCCAGAATTTGCCCCTTTTCTAGATAGAATGGAGGGTGCAAACAACGTACCAACAGCATAAGGCTGGATATTTTCTCCTTTGTAGTCATGGGAACTATTTCAATCTCTGGAGGTGTGTATGCTGTGTCCCCAGTAACAAAATACTCACTGTCCAGTTCCATATCGTATACCTACAGGTCTTGTGAGCTCTTTGACAGGTCCACTGCAATAACTTTCCAATCAGTGTATCTGAAATGAAATCCTTTAGCAGTCACTAGGCGAGGCTGGCCTAGAAAACGCCAAACCTTGTTAGTTATACATTTTACATTTTTATTTTTCTCTCCCCTGCCGCCCATGGTTCCCACCCTCCCCCTTATTTCTTAAGAGGGAGGCATTGTCCCGTTTGGGTCCCGCTACATTTCTATCTTTGCGTGTAGTTCTTTTAGCTGCGGGGACATGCTGTGCACTCAGTTTTTTTGTTTGTTGATCTGTCTCTGGTTCTGGTTTTGAGGACAGTTTCTGGCAAAGTGTCCTGGTTTTTTGCAACACAGGCAGATGATGTGCTGCAGCTGTTATAATGACCTAGGTTGCTTCCTTGGGCTTGATTCAGAGGTGGCAACAGGCTGTAGGTCTGCCGATGCTCTATGACTGACAGGATTATCAAGCAGCTCTGCTCTCCTGGCGCAGGCTTCAATCATCTGGGCAAGGCTAGGTGTTGGATCAAGAGGAAGACTGAGAATAATCCTACGACAGGTCTCATTGGCATTCCTCTGAGCCATTTCTTTAATCAACTCTGTTTGTACCCTGGTGTCTTGCACCTGTTTTTCAACTTGGCTTCTCAAATGATCCACAAACTGTAAAAAACTCTCAGAAGGAAACTGTTTAATGTTAATATAGCTGCATTTAACCTCAGTTCCTGGTAATTGATACAAAGTCTTTTCTGCAGCATTACAGATTTTTTCTACAACCAATCTAGTTAACAGTCTGGTTTGTTTTTCTGGGCATTGTATGTCTCCTGTACCACACAAATGGTGTAAAGTAATAGGCTGACCATCACTGTCAAGGGCTTCACTGGGTGTATGTTGTATTTCTTGCAAAATTGTTTCCAAAGCCAATTTCCACTTATTTTCCCATATCTCATATTCAGAAGGTGTTAGTAAACATTTAAACAAGTCGGTTATATCTTTAGGTACCATTTCATTTGAATTGAAGGTTGCCCTAACCATACCTTTAAAAATCTCACTGGACCTCCCAAATTCTCTCTGAACTTTACAGATTTCTGTTTTGTCTCTATATGGTAGAGGTTGATAACTTCTGGTACCATTTCTTCTCCCTAAAAAAACAACTGGTGCTACAGATGGTATTGATTCCTCGGTAGAGGCAGGGTTATGTCTCTCCACCAGCCCTCCCTGGGTCCCAGTGAGAGGCAGCTCGCACCCCCCTCTCCGGGCTGTCTGCCCCGCGGTGCAGACTCTGGCCCCGTCCCTGCTCTGAGCTGCTGGGCAGCTCTCCCCTGTCCCCCCTCTGCTGTCATCAGCGCTGGGGCTGGGAGCAGTGCAGGGGCCGGCCCCGCCCCTGTTCCCAGGGCAACATGGGGGCTGGCACTGATAAGGAGGGCGTGGTGGAGCTGTGGGAGATAGGGAGGCATTGGAGGAGGGGGTGGAGTGTTGCTAACGCGCTGGCATGGTAGTGTGGAGGAAGGGATTTAGAAAGGCCTTGGGAATTGGAAACTGAGGAAAAGATACATTTAGGTATGCCCCATTGTTTCGGGAAAGTTTCGCTTCAGCATCTTTATGTAAACCCCCTTCTCCCCACCCCTGAGCAGTTCCCATTGGACCTGACCCCTGGGGTGGTTCTGATGGGCCCATGCTGAACACTGTCTCTATTGTTTAGACCTTATCTCTTAATTTTGCTGTATAAAACTGTATCTGGGCAGTAGCCCAGTGTCTTTTGTCCCTGCAACTGTTCAGGCAATACAATCTTTCTGGACTGCACACAATTGACCTCTCTTCGACTCTTTATCTCGACTCCTTGCGGCGACTGAGGCGCACCGCCGCTCGGACCGTGCTAACCCAGCCGCTGCCTGGTGAGCCCAGTGCAGTGGGACCGCGGCAAACCCCGGTTCCCTGAGGGGACAGCTAGACGGAGGGGTCCCGGGGGGCCGGGGAGGGACGGGGGACAGCCGCAAGTGACCCCCGAAAGCCGCAAGTGGCGCACCAACGTGGGGGCATTGCATCGGTTTGAGCGAACACGCCGCGGCCACCGCGGGCAGTTCACCGGTTGGGAGCTTTTCCGGACACTTTGCGATCTGTGTCGCCGCGAGCGACAGAGCGGCGAGCGGTGCGAAAAAACCGCCACGCAGGCTGTCAGCTCCGCGGGGAGAAGCTCTCGGACCTACTGGTGGCGTGGGCACTCGCCCTTCCACACAGCCCGGCAGGACTGCCACCGCGGGGACAGAGGCGCCGATTTCTGTCCGGCGCTGTGTCCGTGGATGCGGACGGGACCTTCCTAACACCCGGAAGACTGTCTGCGGAGTCGGGAACCGTTGTTGCAGTGTGTTTTCTGAAGAATGGCGGTGGGTAAGTCTCGGTACTGGCGGGGAGGGTCCGGCCAGGAGACTGGAGTCAGGCTCCCGTGTGCCCAAGGGGGGACACGCCAGCGCGCAGGCGTGTCGGGAGCTCCGCCGGGTCTTTAGAACTTTGGGGTTTTTGCTGCAGCAGCTGGGTGAGATTTTGCTGTGCTGCCAGCGATGGGTGTTACGCTGACTACACAGCAGAAAGAGATTTATAAACAAGTTCAAGAACCCCTGCAGAGAGCAGGTGCAAAACTTCCTGAGAGCCTGGTGAAAGAGTTTGTCAGATGGGTAACAGTAAGTTTTTCGGAGGTAACAGAGCAAGAAGTGAAAGAAAGACAGTTTTGGAAGCGTGTGGGTGCAGTGTTGAGTGAAAGGACAAAGGCAGGAGATCCCTCAGTGAAAGAAGGTTTTATGAGAATCTTTTTGTTCATTTATGACTTTGTGAAAGAGAGTGCAGACACTCGGGACGCCCGGGGAACAGAAAAGGGTCACATCGCGTCCCCTGTAACCCCCCGCGTCCCCGGCTTTGAAAAAACTAACCGCGCAGATGTAGATTCAGTTCCTGACCCTTCTCCATCTCCTGATTCCACTCCCGCAGATCAAAATCCATGCTTTGCACCCCCCACCCCCCTCGTGCAGCCACCACAAGATGGAGACGGCCACGCGACATTCCCTTCTCCATCCCAGAATTCCTTGCTCCCCGTGCCAGCCCAGAACAATCCCTCCTCCCTTGCGGCGATTCAGCCCACGGTCCAGCCCTCAGCTCCTCCCCTTGCAGCTCCATCACCACCCCCTGCCCCTGCCCCGCTCCACACGGCCCCTCCAGCTGCGGCCACTCCCACACAAGCCGCCCCCCCTCTCGCTCCTGCTTCCCTCAGCAATGGCAGCGCCGGAGCTGCCAGCTTCGGGACTGTCGGCTCCGGGAAACAGAAACTGGCCAGAGACACCGATCCTCCGTTCATGGCCCCAGTGGTTTATAATGCGAGAGGACAAAACCCTAGATGGGAGCCCCTTTCATACGACAGGATCAGGGAACTCTGCAAAACAAAACGTGAATTTGGAGAAAGGAGTGAATTTTTTAAGAGCATTTTAAAAGCTACTCTAGATTCCAAAACTTTTGTCCCTGCTGATTTGAAACGTCTTTTCAGCTGTTTGCTCCCTCAATCTGAATTTAGATTGTGGGAAAGAACTTGGAAAAGGCTTGCAGGAGACCTCCTTCCAGAGATTTTGCAGAGTCCAACCCATTCCACAGATATAGAGGATGAGGAAATCACCTTAGAACATCTAGTGGGTGAGGGTGATAGGAGCCAAGCTGAGAAGCAAGCAGCAGGCATTCCCAGATCAGTGTTAGACCTGTCCAGGGATGCGGCAGAGCGTGCATTTTTAACATGCCTTCTAAAGAACCTATCATTTCTTACACCGCTTTGAAGCAGTCTGTTGCAGAGCCGTTCATGGATTTTGTGGATTGAGTGAGAGCTTCAGTCGAGAAAAGGGTGCAAAATCCAGAGCTCCAAGATCAGCTCACACTAGAAATTGCCACCACAAATGCAAATGAAGCCTGTCAATGAGTCATTCTGGCCCTTCCAGCATCGCCTCCACCCACACTCGATCAGCTCATTGAAGAGTGCACGAGAAAAGCTACACTAATGACAGAGGACTCAGTGATAAGTCCGCGGGAAAGGGTGGTTGCTTCAGCAGCAGCAACCCCGAGGACTCCGGGGTCTGCAGGGCCTCCTCCTTACCAAGGGGGGAAAGTGGGAGCAGGGGGAATCTTTTTCCTTTATACTGGCAGAGCAAATTGTACCTTTTTCAGAGTTAGTTTACCTTGTTATATGATTTTATCTTTCTTTCAGACTAGCAGAATGTCAATTTCCACATTCCTGCTCATCGTTTGGTTCCAGAAAATGGCCATCTACCCGTACACGGTGAACGCATGGATTGTTCCACAGCCCAAGAAAAATGTGTGGGTCACACTCGCCCAAGCCTTGAAACAAAATCACATGTGTTTGTCTACTGCCTCAGCAGAAAATCCGATGTCCACATGTTTAGTAGGGGTTCCAAGTAAGGGGGATGAGTTTCCAATCGGTCTGGTCCGCCCGCAAAAGCAGGTGAATGAAAATAAAATACCTGAGGCGGGGGCAGAGTTCTACAGGCGCCGAGGAGCTGTAGAACAAGTTAAAATACCAGTGCAAAACCCCCTCATTTTGTGGCAAAAGTGGATCCTACACTTGCCCTCTGCTGAGGGAGAGCCCCAGGAATTAGAACTCCTGGGCTCCGCAAAAGCTGAATATTGCATTCAATTTGATTTTCCCCAACCAAAGAAGTAAAACTATATGAGCAAGTCAAACAGTACAAGGTAGAATTCAGGGCGGGTCAATGGTGCACAGCTGTCTATAAGCTGAAATTTGCATCCACCACTGATTTCCGTCCCCGCAAGCTGGACAAAGGAGTGTTTCTTATCTGTGGGGACAGAGCATACCCAGGAATCCCCTCTCGTCTTATTGGAGGTCCATGCACTTTCGGGCATCTGACCCTTGCTTCCCCCAACATGACCCAAATTCCAATCGGGCGAGCAAAAGGTGAGACAAAAATTACTAAGCGAAGTGCAAGTCAATTTGATGAACATTGTGATGCAGAAATTTACCATTGGGCAAGATCCAAAAGAGTTGCCGTCTCTGTGTTTTTACCATGGGTTGCGGCAGCAAAAGCATTGAGTGAATTAGGCAATCTGGAATGCTGGGTGACGAAGCAGGCAAAATTAACATCAGCAGCCCTGAGTGACCTCCTAGAAGACGAGGAAATAACCAGAAAGGCTACCCTCCAAAATTGGGCAGCTATTGATTTCCTGCTGTTGGCACATGGTCATGGATGTAAAGAGTTTGATGGGTTGTGTTGTTTTGATCTGTCATCTAAAGGCCAGAGTGTCCACTCGTCCATTCAGGAAATGAGAAGCCTCATTGGGAGTGTTAAGCAAGAAAATGAGGATTGGTTTAAGGATCTGTTCAAAGACTGGGACCTTTCTGGGTGGGCAGTGTCTCTTTTAAAAGACATCTTTTACTTTCTAGCTGCACTGTTTTTAGTTCTGTTAGCATTTGGGATTCTTAAGCGAATAATCTCCAAGGTCATCACCTCAAAGCCTAAGGCTTCTGCACCTGTTCTCATCGCTGCTGCCGCCACGGAGGGCGATTGGTGGGAAGGCGACAAGCAGAAAGACACCGCAGTTTGAGAGCCGCAGTTTTATCTTCTCCCAAGGCACCGTTCATCTTATTAAGTAAAGAAGAGGGACATGTTGCTATCGCGCTGGCATGGTAGTGTGGAGGAAGGGATTTAGAAAGGCCTTGGGAATTGGAAACTGAAGAAAAGATACATTTAGGTATGAGGAAAAGATACATTTATGTATGCCCCATTGTTTCGGGAAAGTTTCGCTTCAGCATCTTTATGTAAACCCCCTTCTCCCCACCCCTGAGCAGTTCCCATTGGACCTGACCCCTGGGGTGGTTCTGATGAGCCCATGCTGAACACTGTCTCTATTGTTTAGACCTTATCTCTTAATTTTGCTGTATAAAACTGTATCTGGGCAGTAGCCCAGTGTCTTTTGTCCCTGCAACCGTTCAGGCAATACAATCTTTCTGGACTGCACATAATTGACCTCTCTTCGTCTCTTTATCTCGACTCCTTGCGGCGACCGAGGCGCACCGCTGCTCGGACCGTGCTAACCCAGCCGCTGCCTGGTGAGCCCAGTGCAGCGGGACCGCGGCAAACCCCGGTTCCCTGAGCGGACAGCTAGCCGGAGGGGTCCCGGGGGGCCGGGGAGGGACGGGGGACAGCCGCAAGTGACCCCCGAAAGCCGCAGTGGAGGAGGGGGTGGAGAGTGGGGGAAGCAAAGGAATGTGAGTGGGAGGGGGAGCAGGGGGTGGGGGAGCTGGTCCGAGCACATAGCCGCCACCATTATCCTGCCGCGTGTGCTTCAGAGACACTGCAGTGCTCCCTGAGGTGAACTCTGGACTATATTTCTCAGAAAAGCAAGGTGTTAGAAGGGAATAAAGGGTGGGTGAGGGGTTTTCAGGGCTGGGATTTCGAGGAGGTGGGCAAGTTGGGGAAAAGGGAGTATTCGAACTGTGGTTCTGCGTTTGTAAGCTTTTTTCTGCTTCCAAAATCTTTTTTCGTGCTTGTAAAAATATCGGAATAAATTGAGAAGCTTTATGTTCACCATTTTCGACTTTTAAAGTTAATATCTGTCAAATTTGGTCCCAAAAAGAAAGCGAATTCAGTTCTTGCACAGTGAAATTTGGTATTTCTGCTTTTAGCCAGCATAGAAAATGCAGGAGAAGCTTGTTAGAGAACAATACATTGTTTAAGATATTGCTAAGGTGTGCTAGTGTGCTTTTTTGTTCCAGCGACAGTTTTGTACCCATTATTTTAATTGTATCGCTGGTCTAATCTCCACCAGAGTTAGTAACACAGCATGAATTACTTGAATTTCTCTCCGTGGAAATCAGAGCGGGGGAGGAGGGGGGAGGGGCACTTGTCTCACCGCTTGCCGGACCGGCTCCAACCCTCTCTCTCGTCACTTCTCCCCCCAGGAATGTGGGTATCAGCCCACCGGTTCCACGCTGTCTAGCAGAGGGTCCCTGGCACCCCCTCTCGCAAGCATCTCCCCGCAGTCACTATGGTAACTCCTCCCAGCCAGGCGCGGTCCCGGGTGACGCGAACGGAGAACTCACCAAGCTGTGAACTGCGGGGGTCGTCTGTGTACTCGTTTGGGGGTCCCTCTCCAGCGTTCACCTGGGGTACTCAGGTGAGATCCCCGACTTCTCCCTGTCACTCAAAGCCTTTAAAGGCAGCTAGAGTACAAGGGCAGTTGACTGTCCCAAAAGCTATTGAAATCCACTGAGATAGGGGGTCCAGCTTGTGCGTGGGCTCAGAGGCAGCACATGTTGGGGCGCCAACTGTAGTTTTTCCCCCTCCATACAGCCCCTGGAAGAATCCAACTAGCTCAGAGATAAGGGGCTGTGAGGGGAGGAATACCAGGAGAGGGAAAAAATATTCAAAAGAGGCTCTTACCCCAGGGAAGTTGGTTGGTACAGCTCTCTTTATTCTGTGGTGTCCATGGGAGAGCCGGCAAAAGAGGAAGAACAGGAAATGTCAGGAGGTCTATATAGGTTTTGGACAGGGTGGGCTTCCCTGGCTCTCCGCCAACCCCGTTGAGGCAGAAAGGAGGGATCCAGGTGTTATCTTGATCAGAGTCACAAGGTCCCGGGGAAGGGGGGCACAGAGTGCCCCTGAGCTCACTGTAACACATGCCCTCTCAGTCTTTTACACCGAGATGCTGGGGGAGGAGAAACCCCTCATGTGGTATGGCCTCCAGAGCGAGGGCCATTCTGTTCTCCTTCAGGAGATGATGAACACAGGGGCAGATGTGACAGTCATTCCTCCTCAAAAATGGCCAAAGCAATGGGCATTGGAAAATGTAGGCCACCCAGTTGAAGGTGGGGGAGGTCCAAAAAGAGCACAACAGTCCAAAAAGGTGGTCCAAATCAAGGGGCCAAATGGGCAATTGGCATCTCTACGCCCATTTGTTCTGGATTCAAAATTCACCCTCTGGGGGAGAGACGCCATGTCCCAATGGGGGGCAAAGTTAGAACTACCAGGCCCCCAGGATTTTTAGGTGCGGCCACTGAGGAGCACCCGACCCAAAAACTTAAGTGGCTCACAAATACACCCATCTGGGTAGACCAGTGGCCGCTGACTACAGAAAAGACAAGAGCGCTCTCTCAAATTGTAAAAGAGGAATTGGCAAAGGGACATATAGTAGAAACCCAGAGCCCTTGGAATTCTCCGGTGTTCGTTACTAAGAAACCGGGGAAAGACAAGTGGCGGCTCCTCCACGATCTGAGAAAAATTAATAACGTCATTGAAGACATGGGATCTCTTCAACCAGGGATGCCTTCCCCATCTATGCTTCCCCAGAACTGGAAATTTGCAGTGCTTGATATCAAGGACTGCTTCTTTCAAATTCCCCTACACCCAGATGATGCACCATGCTTTGCCTTTTCTGGGCCCTCTCTTAACAGAGCGGCTCCCATGAAACGCTATCATTGGACAGTCAGGGTCTCAAATGCTCTCCCACCATCTGCCAGTGGTATGTGGCTAGAGTTCTGTCCTCAGTCCGTGCCAAGTGGAAGGATTGCATTTTGTATCATTACATGGGTGATGTCCTCTTCTGTGCCAACAGTGACAACGTACTTGCAGAGGAGTTGGAGGACACTATCTCAGCCTTGTCGGCATCTGGATTTGAGTTGCAGAAGGAAAAAGTGCAGTACTGTGGGAATCCAGGGCTTCCCTCTGGCTGCCCTGGAGGGCCTGGAACCCTGGCAGGGGGTCAGGAACCCCCCTCTACAGAGCCCCGAGAGACACTGTCTCTGATCTCTGTCCATGGAAAAGAGTTTTCAATCTTACAGGATGAATTACAAGCTCTGAGTGTTTGATATGAGTAATAATTAAGTGTGGCACTGGTGCAAAAGTGAAATTTTAGGTTTCTAGATTAGGAGTTCAGAGGGGACAAGATGAAGGAAATTGGGTGTGTCTTGTCCTTTTCCTCCTTCTTCATGCCCTCCATGTTTCACTGTAGTGTTGGCATTTTTCTATTGGTTTAGGCTGGGGACACACTGTTCAACGTAGGTGACAGATATCGGCACATTATTGTAAATATAGCACACGTAGTTTCTGGTATATGTTTGTAACATCCCACTGGGGGCAGAGCCCCGCACGCTGCCCTGCAGGACAGACCTGCGGCAGGGCAGCAGAACATGTTAGAGATAAGCAAGAATAAACAACCTTGAAAGCAGCACAGACAAATTATGGCTTCTTCTTTGGCAACGGGGCAGAAAGACAGAGACTTTCTACAATCCCTGAATCATCAATACCCACAGATTCCGACACAGCGCCTGCCGCCTTGGAAGTATCTGGGCCTTGAAATTAGTAACAGAACCACCACACCCCAGAGACCAATGATAAATGATGATCTGAAAACATTACGGGACCTCCACCACCTTTGTGGGTCTCTACATTGGGTCAGTCCCTGGCTGGGGCTCACCATGGGAGAGTTGTCTCCCATCTTCAAATTATTGAGTGGGGGGAAGAGTTAGACTCCCCGAGGGCCCTAACCCAGGAGGCCAGGGCTGCTTTGGAGAAAATTTAGGCCACTCTAGCAGACAGACAGGCCCACAGGTGTCATGAGGTCTTGCCCTTCCAATTCATCATCCTTGGTAAGTTGCCACACCTCCATGGGTTGATCTTTCAATGGGACACAGACCAACAGGATCCCCTCCTAATTATAGAGTGGGTGTTCCTTGGTCATCAGTTGTCCAAAAGTATCACCAAGACACTAGAGTTGATGGCCCAGCTGATCATGAGGGCCTTAGCATGCTTGCAGGTGTTGACAGGGTGTGACTTCACATGCATTCATCTCCCTATCAAAATATCTACGGGGAGACTCTCTAAGGAAATACTTGAGCACCTGTTTCAGACCAATGAAAACTTGCAATTCTCCCTAGATAGTTTCAC